CTCTAATATTCCTAGAGTTGAGCCTAATCTTGGAGGTAAAACTGCATCATGAGACTCTAAAGATGGCAACTTAAGCATCCAACACCAAGGACAAGATCAACACACCACCAAATAAAACACAGGTTCACCTTATTTCACCCAAGTTCCTTAGCACCAGGAATTCAGAATACTGTGAATGAAACAATAAGACACACGTTCTGTATACTCTGAAATGTCCCCAGCAAAGTCTGGAGCCACCCCCTCATCAAACACACTATTTTTGTTTTGAAACATGAGGATAGCCCCATTCAGTGGGATGAAGGAAGAATCCACAAAGCCATCTCATGCAGGTCAGACTTCGCTCCCACGTTAGTTACCAAGGTCTTTTGTCATTTCAAAGCCTTTTGCTTTTGACATGATGGCAAAGAGATTGCCAGCCTTATTTTAGTAGTAGCTTTACAACACCATAATTCTGAAGAAAATTTAATAATGCAGGACGATGGCTCATAAAATAAGACAGTATTGAGTGGATGACTGAAAACAATATGGAGTTTTAAAGTTTTCTAAACTTTTAAAACATTCCATGTTGAGGTAGAAAAATGACGTATCTGAAGCCAAGTAGCGGTTCTTTCTGAGTTCTAGGATAATTGACGATTCTCATTTTCTTCTTTGTGCTTTTGAATGTTTTCTAAAATTGCTACCAGGATTAGAAATAAATTTAACAACAAACAAAGCTAGTTTACTTTTATACCTTCTCAGTGTATTTAAAATTGGGCACTTTCCAGGTACTTGCTCTCCCAACAGGCCTAGTCTGGGTTCCAGGGGAGCATGGTCTACTCTCTATAGGATTCTGGCCAGGATGTAGTGTGGCTTACTGGAAAGGGCCTGGAAACAAGGGTTTGGTGACCTTGACTCTCCTGAACACTCAGACCCTCAGCCTCTAGGTTCTCATCAGTCCTGTCCACACTACAGAAGACACACTGGAAACCAAGCCCCAGGGTAGAGCCGGGCGTCTGCAGGCTTGTCTCCTCATTTATCGCTCACAGCACTGGGGTACTCCAAGGAACAAGGCTTTCTGCAGTTCAATGGATGGTTAGGGAATCTGTGCGGTTTGTTACCCAGAAAGTCAATGCAAAATAGTCTGCTAATTTCAGAAGCAATTTAGAATAATGACATCCAGGCCCCTTCTTAACTTGTATGGAGTTTTTCCATCATTTTCTACATAATAGCCAAATGATCTGCTAAACATACGGTTAACACTGTCTGAGAGCAGAGACTAGATCTTCATCATTTTAAGTGAGGCACCTTGCTCAGTGCCTGACTTGCTGTATACGTTATAATAAATAAATGCTGTAGTCAGAACTCATGCAATTATACACAAGGATGTGAGCAGATTTTTCTCATTGTAGGTATGTGCACCTATGTATGTAAATTGTGTGAGTATATATGGCTGTGCAAATATATAGCTGTGCTCACATATGTGCATACATGTGTGTATACAATATCTATTTCTTCTGCATGCATTTGTACTCATTAATTCACTATTAAAGAGCCGAATTGGGGATACTGAGATGGTTTAAATGAGGCCCTCTGAAGTCCATGCTAAACCCTCATCACCACGGTGATGGTGTTGGGGGTAGAGACTTGGGGAGGTAATGAGGGGTAGAATCCTCAACAATGGCTCTTGTGCCCTCAAAAATGCCACCCAGGGAGCTCCCTCACCCTTCCTCCCAGGTAAGGACACAGAAGGTGCTATCTGTAAACAAGGAAGTGAACCCTCGCCAGACACCACATCTGCCAGCACCTTCTTCTTGGAATTTCCAAGGCTCCAGGACTGTAAGAAATACATTTCTGCTGTTTATGAGTTACCTGACCTAAGGTACTTTGCTATAGCAGCCCAAGCAGACTAAGACAGATGGCAAGGAATTAGTCATAGTCACAAAAGACATTTAGAATTCTAGTCGTAGAATTGTAGGAAATTCTAGGAACAGAATTGTAAGACATCATTCTTCAACCCTGGCTGCACTTATACCCAACTGAGCACTAAGAAAGTAAGAGGATGGATGTCCAGGTGTTCTGACTTCCTTGGCCTGGGAGAGGAGACTAAGATTGTTCTCTGTCCAGAGCTTCCTTGGTGACTGTACGTTCTGTTGGACTTAGAATCTGCTGCCTTGTGTCAATAGGGTTGACCTTCACCAAGGAAGGAGATGCTCCCCCAAAGGCACATCCCCTGCGTGTGGGGTAAGGGAACATGCATTCCAAACCACATTGACACCAAGTCTGACATGTGGCGCCTCCTCTGAGTCACACCCTGGCCATTGCTGCAGACACTCGTCCAGTGTGTGGGGAAGGAGATATTTCTGAAAACCATTGTTCTAGTCCAGTGCTGCTCAGACTTTGTTGTGTCTAGGATTCAGCTGGGGAGCTGATAAAAATACAGAATCTGATTCAGAATCTAGGCTGGACTCTGCATTTCTAAGAAGCCCTCCGGGGGACGCTGCTTTGACAAAATCCCACAGAGCTGAAAACACTGGGCAGGAGGCCATGGCAGTTGAGGGTAACATAAGAGGGCAGCTTACTCTTCATTTATGTGGTACCAGCATTTATATGGCACCATGAGCTTGATTGACTCAGGCGCGAGCCCATCAGTGGCCTGTGCACCACAGAACTCCCCATACCTTTATGTGGACAGCTTACTGATCATTTATGTGTCTTTCTCTTTAGTGTGTGTGTGTGTGTGTATGTGGGAGAGTGTTCTCATTTTAATGTTTCTGTTTCATTTCAGGACGGGTTAGCAAGCAATTCCATATAGATTGGGGACCTGAGGCTGCATTAAGAAGAAAGAGTGAAGATGAATTTGGGTTTGACGGGGTGGGGACAGGGATGCTCTGATCTTTGGGAAGAAGTGTTATTCATCGAGGCAACTTCAAGTATGGAGGTAACTAAGACAGGCAGGTGGGCTCCATGTTGGCTCATTCTAAGAGGAGAAAACTGAAGTACATGATGATGGTGTGGCTGGTTCTGTCATCTGTGGACTGTCAGTTTCACACCTATAGTTCCTTTAAAGCTGATATTATGATGCTACCCTGTGGAATGCATGAGAAGCAGCCATGGCTAAGAGCAGGGTTGTCAGTCACTACCCTCTGCCCTCAAAGAGGGGTCCAGCGCTGAGAAGAAAGCCCACTGTGGAGTATTGAATGGGGGCCCTAAACAGGTTCATCTGAGTCTCTGTGAATGCGACCTTCTTTGGAGAAAGGGTCTTTGCAGATATAATCAAGGATTTTGATATGAAATCATTCTGGATTATCCAGGAGAACACAGGTGAATCTTAAATTAAACAGCAAATGTCTTTATAAGAGAGGAACAGAGGAGACTATAAGACAGGAACAAAATGACAGAGACATAGAGGAGAAGCTCAGGCACACACGGCCTCAAACCAAGGGGAGCCTGGAGCCCCAGGAGCTGGAGGAGGCAGCAAGGATCCCCCCAGATCCTTCAGAGTGAGCAGGCCCTGCTGGCATCTTGGTGTTGAACGTGAGCTTCCAGAGCAGCCGGAGAATACATTTCTGTCCCCTTAAGCTGTGCAGATAGTGGTGATTTCTTAGGACTCTGGCGCGCCTGCCTTACTTCCTGTCCACCATCTCCACAAGCCTCTTGGGTCTGAGCAGCCATCCCCTTCAATGAGTTGCCACAGAGGAAGCGGCTCACTCACCTGACGGCAGCCTTGCCTCCCTCCTCGTGTCCTTCCCGGTTCCCACAGTGGAGGGATCATGGAAGGAGCACTATGTTTGGAACTGGATTTGAATCCATCACTGTGTTCTGTGCCATCCCAGGCAAGTCACCTGGGCCAGGAAGATGATGCCCAGGGGAGCGAGGGGTGCCTGCCCTCCCTGTCCAACCCTGCTTAAGGACCAAAGAGGCAAGGGTAGCTGCTCCCAGTCCAGTGATGATGTTCCCTGAGCTTGATTGACTCAGGCGTGAGCCCATCCGTGGCCTGTGCACCACGGAACTCCCCCTACCTTTATCAGGGCAACCGGATGGACACAAGCTCCAGCTTCCCCCTCCTGTGGGCCTGACCATGGGCAGGTGGAGCACCCTGTCACTGTGGGCATCTGCGGGCAGTCATGACTGGGGCTGTTGGAACACCCACCGTTCCTCCGTGTCTCTCTGGACCCTGGCTCTGTACCATTGTCTGTCACCTGTGCTGGCCCTCAAACTCCCTCTAGGACCTGGGGTCACGGGGAAAACAGGCATGCTTCTTCCTCCAGGCCAGATGTGTTTTCCAAAGGGCTAAGTGACTTTCTCAATATCTCAATGTCACACGGCTGTGAAATGATAGGGCCAGTGGTTTAGGCAGGTTTGCTTGTCTCTGAAACTCACATTCTTTCTGGTGCAGACCCTTTGCCTCTCAGTTCACACCAGAGGAGAACAGCAATGCTGCCCAACCCAGTGGCAAATAAACAAAGCAAATGAATAGGTAAGTTATGCAAATTTTAGAGTTAGTACACCAAATTTTATCGATTTTTTTTGGCATTATAAATATTTCTTAAATCTTTGACATCTACTCTTTTGGCTATATTCAAAAGCATCATGTATGCACAATAGTGTTTTTGAATCAGATGTATATTTTGTATCCAAACCAATCACATCATTCATTTTGAGTGTCCGCAGGAGAAAGCTGGACACAGGCTTCCTCCTGGGGAAACAAGGGTCTGAGCTGCTGGTGTTTTCTTAAACCTTCACAAAACTGGGAATGGAGTGACTCATGGTTTTCTGGGTGCCCTTCTAGCAGAAGCCCCTCATCCTTGCTCCAACTACACACCCACTCCCGGTCAGAAAAAGTGGTCTCTTCTCCCAAAACACCATTACTGGAAACGGAGTTGTTTGAGCACCCAAGCACACTTCTGCAGTCCCAGCCTCAGGAAATGCCCTTCCCCTGGGGACACAGTGGCACCATTCCTTAGCACATTGCCCGGGCGATGGCTCCTATCCCCACTAGGAGACGGGAGCACAGTACTTACAGGCTGTTCATCGCTCTCGGCTCACGGTAAATAAGGGGGCTCTTCAACTCAGCCTGTGGAAACAAGAGCAAACGCTTTACCTGATAGGTCATATTTGAATTCTGTTGAACACGCTATTGTCGCTTCTTGTTAAAGTTGGGTGCAGGTGTTGGCTTAGAGGAACGATGGAAAGAGAATCAGTGCAGGTCAAGGATGGGTTTATTTCTGGAATGGGGTGGAGGAGGGGACTTTTACCCCTGTCACGCTGTCCTCCTTCTGTCAGCATACATCCCATCTGCCCTGGGGAGCTGAGCAAACTTGCAAACTTGCACTGTGCCTCCTTTTTCCCTGGGGTGCAATTGTGTGCTCCCCTGGGCACCTGGGTGTGCTAGCCCAGATGCTTCGGGTGCTGCTCTGAGTGCAGGGCTTGCCGAAGTGCAGTGCTTTCTTTTCTGAGTGTGACCTCTCTGTGTTTATTGGAGGTTACATTTATGTGCCACTTCACACAGGCCACAGCATTTTGTTTGAGCCCTGTTTTCACCCACAAAGGAGACATTATTAGCTCCAGTATAAATTAGCAGCAGTGACTATGGAAATATTCAATATCATTTAATCCACTCAAAGACCCTGGTAGGTATAAAGGAAATTTCTCTTTGTGTCAGGTGGGGGGTTCAACAAGAAACAGGTGGCAACCTCATATTGGCTAATTTGAGAGCTTTGAATAAAGAGATGCTCTAACAGGTGTGGGCAAGATGAAAAGAATCTACAAGGGTCAGAGAAGTATCTGGAGGTGTTAGGCAAGGGCTGCTATGGTGCCTGGTCCTGGAGGGTCATGGAGTGAGTGGTCACCAGAGCCAGAGGCAGGGCTGGGTGGAGAGGAGCTTGGCTCTCAGCTGAGAGAGCACAGGGAGGGAGCTTCAGAGTGTGGAGGGAAAAGCCCCATCTCATGATCCTCCTGCCCTGGATCTCCTCTGCTGTCTCCTATTGACCAAACTGGACAGGAAGCCAGGGAGGTGGAACTATTGATATGGTTTATGTCCATCAGCCTCTGGGGGCTCCCAGCTGAGGAAGAGAGTGGATTTCAGTTAGAGAATGAGAGCCAGGGAGATTAAATTATGTGCCCAAGATCGGCCATCTGCAATAAGAGCCCAGATCCTAAAACTCTTATTTCCTAACCTGTCAGCACTTCATTATCCAACCATTTATCCAATCACCACTTACTGAAAATAGACTTTGTGCAAATATTGTGCCTAATGAGACCTGGTCCCTGCCCTCCAGTGCTCCCAAAACTAAGGAAGTACAGTTTCTGCCTCTTTCTAGCATCAAAATGCTTTGTAAAACTGATGCATCAAAAAACAGAACAACAACAACAACAACAACAAAAAACCCACAACAGGTCCTAACCCTGCCTTTAAAAGCAAGAGAATCTTTGTAGAAGAGACAGTACTTTTGGTCTTGCTGAATAAGTCTGATCTTCTAGGCTCAGTGGTCAGGAAGGTGTTCCAGGCCAGTGGAGCACCACGTGCAGGGCTGTGAAGATGCTAGATTGTTCTGGGTGCCATGACAGCTTTGCAGGGTTTGGTAGGACCACAGAAGCCAGCAGCGTGGATATTGGAGGCACATGGAAAAGAGGAGGGCCCATTGCATGGTGATGGCCAAAGATTGGGCATGCCTAGGGATGGGGTTTGGCCAGTAACTGTGGCAAAGTTACTGAAGTGCTGGACTGAGCTCCAGATCCTCTGATACCCTGTGCATCACCCCATAGCACATCCCCTTTTCTTATATTTCTAGCTTGGTCCTGACAGCAGGGACAGGAAAGGGAGCTGCTAGGCTTTCACAAGTGGTCCTCTGTGGGCAGCCTAGAGCATCAAGTTCATGGCTTTCTTTGGAAGTTATCACCTCCACTTGAAACTTTGCCCATATGATACAATGTACATTGAATACTCCAAGAGTCCTGGACTGGAAGTTGGGAAACTCTGTCTAGTTTGAGTGCTGCATTATGTAGCTGTGTGACCTAGAAGAGTGTTCAGTCTCTTCTCATTTATTAGTGGTAGTATCAACATCTCTTTTTTGCAGTATTAACTGTGAAATAAGCTGATGCTTTATGCATTTTTATGCAGAAAATGTCTTACGAACTAAAGCACTTTATGAAATATGGACATACAATTACTAGTATAATAAGCTTTGCAAGTTGCTTTAACATCTTTCATATTATGTTTGATCATTAACAAGAATTTTTGGATATTACTTCTTGGAGGGGTTAAATTCTTGGTTATGGTTAAATAAGAGAAATTGCCCACCCCTAAAAACATCTATCACTTTAGAATTCTTGTTACTCCATTCATTACCTTGAATGCATTAAGTAGCGCTGAGATGGAATAACATAAGTTAGTCTTCACGGAGGACACCCTGTGTGCCTGGCTCTTAGCCAGCTGTATGCAGAGCAAGGGAATCAGAAGATACAGAGCAGTTCTTTCCAAGACTTACTGCCTCTGATCAGTAAGGTAGGAAGGTGGCCAACCCTCACCCTGACACCCACTGTGTGGCTTTGAACAGATTACTGGTGCTCTCTGGGCCCTGATTTCTTCATCTGACATATGAACAAGTTGGACCAACAATATTCTTCCAGCTCAAAATTCCATGAAATAGTTACCTTAAAAAAACTACAATCTATCCACATCTGATAACAGCAAAAAAAGTTGTTTTAAAATTCAGAAACACACACACACACACACACACATCTTTTTGTCTTCTCCAATACAACTCCTCACAAAATAAACCTTCAGAGATTCAGAGGCCTCTGCCAAATTGCTACCTCATAGGACAGAGTGCAGCTGGGGGGATCCCTACATTTTACCTACGTGCAATTTGACTTGTGTCATCTATGTTTAAAAAAAAAAATCAAGGAGATATTCTATTTGGCTTTTGAGAGGTTTGAGATATCCATTGTATGAGAATAGTTTTTAAATATTTTAAAGAGAACCCGAACTTTACTGGCATTGTAAAAAAGCAAAATTTGGGGTGTTAGAGACCCATACCAGAGTCTGTTTGGCCACATGGGGTCATCAGCAAGACAAAGTGGAGCTCAATTGTTTAGTAAAGGATGTGGTGAGAATTTGAGCCAGTCAGGAAGTGTTTTGTGTCCACGGGTTTTATGAAGATAATCAAGTACAGAAAAGATAAGGCCCTTCCCTTCCTGCACTTTTCAAAGAAAAGGGATGAGCATTGATCAGCTGCTCTGGTCCCTAACCCCTGCACTAACCCCAAAGGATTTGTTTTTTTCATCTTTATTTTATTCAAAACCAAACTGACACTTGCATTAAGTAATTGGCTTTGCATGGCACGTTTAACCAGCTGGCACTTCAGTTCCAGGGTCCCTGCCACCTCTGAGTTATGCTTTGGGACAACTGCTTGCTGATTTGGAGACTGTTTGCTTATCTGTAGAATGCGGGGGTGGGCACAATCTCTTATGAGGATCATGTGAGAAAATGAGTTCTGAGACACGAGGACGTGGGGATTAACACTAACTCGGACTGTAAGAGTAACTAAATGCCTTGGACCACTCCTAGGTTTGTGTCTCCAGGAAGGATAGGTGTGTATGGGGTTGTTCACAGCTGCTAATTGCACCATGCAGAATTACCTGGGAGCTTTAAAATTTAGAACACCCTGGAAAATCTGATTCAGTTGACCTGGGGAGGAGCCCAGGTCCAGCCGTTAAGTGCCTCAGCTATTGTAACAGGCGGGGAGGCCCCAGGGAGAAAGCAGAGCATCCCTGACTTCTGTCTTATGTCCATCTGCCCAGCATCACTCACGGATGTCTTCTCACCAAACAGGCTGGTGTTTCTTATTCTCAGGTGAAATGTCAAATAATCACACGTTCATTTGCCTTCTGTCTCAAGTCCATGAAAACCAGAAATTCAGAAAATGCCACTGATTGTAAAGAGACCTCCTTCCATTCAGAATTATTTCTGAGTTGACCTTGAGCTTTAAAAAATTCACCACATCCAAATATTCGTAGACATGGATGAGAGGGGGAAAGATATTATTCCTGGTTTATGGAGACACAATATGTGTACCTCTTTATGGGGCAGAGTATGATCATCTGATACATGTATATGGTGTGCAATGTTCAAATCAGAGTGCCTAATACATCTCCTTCAGCCCTCATCATTTCTGTTTATGGGGAATTCTCGTGCTCTTCTGATGGGAAAGGTTTCAAATTACACAGAGATTTTTCAGATCTGATCTATAGGTAAGGAGGAAGTGAAATCCAGGCTTGTGAAACTTAAAAGGAAGCGTTCGTGTATTCTACAATTATTTATTGAGAATCTACTATGTGCTGGGCACATTTCAGATACTAGGAATTAGAGGCCATGGAGCGAGTCCCCTGTGCTCACAGCCAGTGCTCCCTGGTGCTGTAAATGGCCACGTGGAGAGAGATGAAATACACCTTTGCATGTAAGAGAGGTAAGTAGAGAGTCGCTGGCACACAGAGGGAGGTATTTTCCAAGCCAGCCCACTCAGCTTCCTACGGAGCCAGCTCGTCTCAGCGTCCCCCCAAGAATTCACCCCAGCCTCAGGGCTAGCATGACAGCAGGGATGAAGGAAGCAGGTCTTCCAGCTGAGGAGTGCCCCTGGCCCCAGTCTGTGGGTCTTTCTCCAGGGACCTCAGGATCTGCTCAGTCTGAACAACTCTAACATGCTCTTGTCTTGACTCTCACCCGGGAGCAGGTGTGTCTCAGCGGAGAGGAAAGTCTCATTGTGTTTTCTACCTTCACCTTCTATAGGGATCAGGACCTTCACTTCCCTTTCTCTCCCCGGTTAGCCTCAGAAATAACAAGCAAGCCTGGCTTTCCTTGTCAAAGACAGGTGACACCACGGCACCAGCCATCTGTCAGTCCCACTTGTGGAACCCAGATTTACAGCAGGGCACTTGGCACAAAAGATATCATATCAGAGTTGGCTTTGCCATGGTGGAGCTGGAAAGTGCTCTTGAGGGTCTCAAGAGAAGACTGCACCTCATCTTCAGGACCCATGGTCAGGGTGGGACTAGGCAGGAAGAGACAGTCAGGTG